CATATCTGTCCAGTCACCATCCTCATACTCTAGATATATAGATAGATAGATACAACAGATAGATAATAAGCTGACCCATCCAGCATATCTGTCCAGTCACCATCCTCATACTCTAGATATATAGATAGATAGATACAACAGATAGATGATAAGCTGACCCATCCAACATATCTGTCTAGTCACCATACTCATACACTAGATATATAGATAGATAGATACAACAGATAGAAAGATAAAATACAAAAAAATAATAAAACAACTGCTGTGTTGTTCTGTCAAATGTTGGTGAGACAAAGGCCTTAAAATCAAAGCATGAGCCATTGAACTGTTTTCTGAAAATTTGACAGACAGCCTCAAACTGACCATAATTGACCTTTCTTTGTAACTCTTGGAAACACCATGAACATGAACAAACGCTACCAATAACACCCAAATGTGACTGAAAATTACCATTAGTATCAAAATCTGGCATAAACTGACCCAAACTCATCAAAACTTACCTAAGCTGGTCAAAAACAAACCTAACTTATGAGTTCATTTGTGAGACACTGATTATGAAATCAAAACATAAACCAAATTTGGCCGGAGTCAGTCTAAACCAGAAAATCTTCAAACCAAAGTTAAAACTAACTTAATCTGGTAAAAAACTGACTTGTAGTATCAGTGTATAATCCTCTCCTAGATTACTCTGTTAGATACTGATTATGAAATCAAAACATAAACCAAATTTGACCGGAGTCAGCCTAAACCAGAAAATCTTCTAATCAAAGTTAAAACTAACTTAATCTGGTAAAAAACTGACCTGTAGTGTAGTGTATAATCCTCTCCTAGATTACTCTGTTAGATACTGATTATGAAATCAAAACTAGCCAATAATAAAATACTGACTGAAAAAAAACAGTTCAGAAATTACCTTAAATTACCTTTATCTGGCCACAACTAACCTAAAAATGACACTAAAATGAGATAAAACTGACCTGGAGTCTGTGTTTCTCCGGGGTTTCTCTGTGAGACACAGACCATAAGATCCTGTGTAGAGGAGTTCTGGAGAACCTGAGAGAAAACCTTCCCAGCCTCGGCCATCTTCTTATATCTTAACAGAAAATATTATTATCATTTTTGCCGAAGAACCATGGACAAAGATAGACAAAGATAGGCGCACAGGGTCTGCCCAAAACAGGCCCCATTTCTTTAAACTCTTGAGATTATATTTCTCAAAAACCAAACTTATTCCAAAGGTTCCTGAGATTGACAACCAACTAATATTTAAACTAAAGTCTATTTTATATCCAACTAGCTTGGGAACCCAGCGCTGCCCAGTTTACTCAAGTAATTACTCCCGCTGTTTACCCGCACTTGAACGATTTTACCGGGAAACAAAATTTTTGCTATTAAAGTCGACCCACTCAACTTAGAATCTCAAAAACAAGCTAAGAACATTCCCGTGAGTCTCCCCAGCTCCCAAATAAATCAAAACTTGAGGCAAATCGGTCCAGGGGTTCCTGACTTATGATCGGACAAACAAACAGACAGACAAAAAGAGAATATAACTTTATATATATCCTATGCTTTAAGATTTGGGGACACAATCCCTTAAATCTAACCTAAGCCTTGTGATGGGGTAGGGGTTCTGATCCTCTTCATCCTCAGTGAACTCGTACTTCTTCTCCGCTAACCTCTTCCGCCTTCAGAATCAACCAATCAATTAATCAATCAATCAATAACAATCACTAATCAATCAATCAATCTATTTTTCTTTTTCTTTCGCCATTAGAACACTTGAACAATTGATAAATCAATATATCAGCCACTTATTCATTAATCAATCAATTAATCAATCAATTAATGGTTAATCCATCAATTACTCTCAATTACCAATCAACCAACCCATAAATTTCATAAATTAACCTCAATGTGAAGAGTTTCTCAAAAGTTGGATCAATGATGAATTAACGAATCAATCATTAAACCAGTCACCCAATTAACCAAAAACCCAACCAATCAACCAAAAACCCAACCAATCAACCCAAGGTTATTAATAAATCAACTAACCTAAATGTGGAAAGTTTCTCGGGCACATCAACTAGAAAGTTTTCATCAGTTAAATCATACGCTTCATCCGCCAGCTTTCTTTTCTTGTCCGAACTTCCTGCAATACCAATCAAATCAAATCAAGAAACTTGGGATTTTAGTAGCCTGAGCCCACGATTTTAAAGATTTGAAGATATAAGACTCTGGTCACAGCTGTCTCTGAGACAAATTTAAGATTCAAGCTGGGGGATCTTAGCCGCAACTATATTTTCTCCGGAGTTTGTTTTATTAAACCGGTTTAATATCATATTAGGCGGATTTTGATGGTTAAAATTGGCAGATTCCAGGAATTGATTAAAATAAGACTCAACATGCACTAAAACTATTCAAGGTCGGTTTTATCTTAATTGGGCCTAACTCTGTAAGTCAGGCGAAGATCTTGCAGCTGTCAATCATGTGACACAATCTGCCGTCAGAGTTGGGTCTAACGATACCAAAAACAATAATAATAACAATAATACTATCAATAATTTGGTAATAACCTTTAAAAAGCTTCATATTTTGGGAAAACTAATTTTTTTAAAAGAAAGCATAATTTTGAAAATATAACATTTAAAATTTATGAATAGAAAACTTAGCAATAGCTTAGCACTACTTCTCTAGAATACAGCGCTCCGTAGCACCATAGACCAGCAAGATTTAATGTATTACCTGGCGTTGAGGGAATCATAAATTCAAACCCATCTCTCTCATTAATCTCCTTCTCCTCCTTCTTCTCCTTAAACCTCCCTGCCAAGTTTTTCGTAGGAGAGAGTTTACTAGTAAACTCCTGAATCCTGTTCATCTTCTCCAGATGTCTCCTGGGAGTAAAATTATATTTTTAAAGGGATTGTTTCCGCAATTTCAAGAGACCTTTTAATACTTCAAACAAGATATTCTAGTGTTAATTAATTAAAAATTGATTCTTTTCAATTTTGGTTTGTAAACAATGGAGGAGATTAGAAATTAATACTTTTTAAGACAGAAAAACTACGATATTGTTACACAAGCACATGCTTCGTTAAGAAAGTCTATAATGCACCCCTGCGTTAACAATATTCATACCTGTTTTCAAGATCAAGATGCTGGAGATAAAACCTGTTTTTGCCGATTATTCTATCTACGCATGCGCGTGAAACTCGCGTGTTGTTCTTTCAGTTTTTCCAGTATTATTGTCAAAGTTTATTAGTGTCATGTTTTTTTCTGATCATCGTGCAAAAATCGGAGGACTAATGTGGTAAATATCTCCTTTAAATACTTAAAATCTTTTATGTGTCTTGTATGATTATATTACTTATGTTTCTTATGTTTTCTAGCTTAATGCTGCAGTTTTTAACGCCTGAGATGATATTTTGAATTATTCATTGGATGAATTGTATGAAAATAATATCTCTCAAAGGTTTTCTGTAGTTAACCAAGTTTTTATTTGTTTAAGATTGAAGATCTGTGCCTGAATAAAACTTGAAGCTATCCTATTTTTGATTCATTATGAGAAGGAGTGAGAGTAAAGGATCATACGGTCAGGCCCAACGAAATACAGCACGGTAGTTGTCCTTTTTATCATTAAGTCTTTAGGAAATCGCCTAGGTTGCGTAACAGATACCTTCCTCATTATTGATCATATCAAAAAGAAGCATTATAATTTCGTGAAGACTGGAGACTCTAAATCTTGTTAAAAAAACTAAAAAAAACTCTTTACCTAGGACTCTCGCCCCCCCTGGAGGACTCTTGTTTCTGGGAAGAGTTCTCGAAGAAGAGAGGTCGCTTACTTCGTAGTTTTCTGCTTGATCTAGACAAAAATTAATTCATCAATTTTACAAGTTCTAATAAAAAGATTATTTTTTTATTCACAAATTCAGAAATTATAATTTTCCTGTAATAATGAAACTGCACTGTACTGCATAGTACTGTTCAGATTAAATTACATCGATTTTTTTTTCACAAATTCCATTAAAAAGGTAATTTTTGAATGCAAATAATAATTAGGTATCATGTAATATGGAAACCGTACTGTACTGTACTGTACTGTACTGTACTGTACTGCACTATAATTTACTGTACTGTACTTTATTGTACCTTGAAGGAAAGGAAGCTTCTGACTCTACATCTGTGTTTTCTGAATCTGAATTTTGTGGGAAGCTAACGGGAGAAAATCCGCCAGGGGAGCCATCTTAGTTTTTCTTTTTTTAATTCACGTTAATTCAGAATTTTAAATTAATTTTTTTACAAACAAAAATTTGATATACGGAAGCATTTAACAAAATGTTTTCTAGTACTATTTGCATTTGCCTAATTCGTAATATTTGGATATAAGCAATTTTGAAAGATAAATAAAGAAGACGACATTTAAAGAAGATTTCCTGCGACAAGAGAAAACTCCGCAATTCCCACATTAACAGAGATGGGATTGCAGGGCGGGGACAGGGGATTAATTCCTCTGCAGCGGAACAAATAATCAAAATATTTTCATTTTGTCGACATAATTACAAGTCAGGGGCGGATACAGGATTTAAGTGAAGGGGGTGCTAGATTTATTTCGGAACAAAAAAATACAGATTTAGGAACCTCTTTTGTCTCTGCAGCATAAATCTGCCCGTCACTTCCCCAATACCCATAATATTTGCTCAGACAAAGGTTTGTAGAGAATCAGACATGTAACCATGTAACCATTTGAACAGAGAATAAAGTAAACTTTTAGTAGTTAAACCATTTCATTGGTTGAATCAAAATCTTTAAGATTTCCTGTCTTCTAATGATTCAAATTAAGAAGAGACCAAAAATTGATGAATAGCGAGAAGATAATTGAACTAAAGTTGAACTACGTGGACGACTTAATTCAAAGATAAAAGACGACTGTCAAGTCGTCTTGCTAGTGTCATGTTTCGTGCATTCATAAACTTCCAAGTCAGACAACATTGATTGATTAATTGATGAATTATAATTAAGACGATATTTTTGAATATTTGTTCCTAAAAGAGTATAGAAATGGTTCTTGTGTTCTGCTCTCCTAAACAATAAAATAAATCAAACAATAAAAAAAGAACATTTTTTGCTTCTTTGAAGTAGAAAAACATTGGTAAGAGATTTTTCTGAATCCATTTTGCAGAAGCAATTCTAAGGCACGATTATAAAATACATTTTTTATAAAATTTAAAAATGGGCCCCTCAAATGGCGGTCAAAATGGCCGCTTAAATTGGCAATCAAAATGGAGGTAAAAACGCTAGTCAAGATGGCCGCCAAAGAGGTGGTAAAAGTACCTTCTCCTGTGATACGCCTAACCGTTCTGTCTTGACTGTGATGGCGTGGAGAAAATTTCCCGTATTCACCACAATACAACCACCTCGCTTTAAACTAGGCAAACCAAATTATTTCTTTTCATATTTAGAGTGACCTGAATTATAGAAATCTTGACAAATTATTGGTTTAACAGTGAAATACTTACCGCTCCCCCCCCCCCCATCTCTTCAAAAATGACGATAAAACTGAACCAAATTAAATTGAAACTGTTTCATCAAAAATGTTTAATCCTTTTTGCACCAGTGTCCAGTACAAGGTAAATTAGAACCAAAGGAAGGTCGATTTTTTTCAACTTTTTCATGGATATGAAAAGATCCTTGAACCTCTGAATAACGTCCATCTGTCCTTTTTGCGATAATACCAAAACTATGTAATTATGTTTCCCGGCCATTGATTGTAATTTGCTTAATGTTTAAGGGATTTTTTAAAATTAAACGTTTCTTAAATAAATGTTTCAAGACTTTTCTGGCTTAATTAGTGATTTGATTTACACAAAAAATCAAAAATCATGAAAAAAAATTCTCAAATATTTTTTAAAATTGTGTCGAAGAAAACTTTTAAACTGATGCAAGGTGGATTTAAGCATTTTTATTAAAGAAGTGCCGAATAGTTTCACCCTTACTTAAATTCTCAAAACAACATTACAATAAGGATTTATTTCTTCAAGAAAAGAAAAGTTTTCCTAATTTTTGGTTCGAATTTCGGATACGGCGGAACCAAATCAAACTGCGTGTGAACTGTAGCTCCGTGGCGTAAGCATGATAATCTTACACAAGAGTTCCAGGCAGCTGCCACATCATCAGCATCATAACTAGACGCAACCTGTACAGTGTATAGAGTGCATAGTACTGTACATAACTTGACACAAACTGTACAGTGTATAGAGTGTAGTGTATTGAACAGAACTTGACACAACCTGTACAGCTTATAGTGCACAGTACATTATTTGACACAACCTGTACAGTTATGTATAGTGTATAGTACATTACTTGACACAACCTGTACAGTGTAGTGCACAGTACATAATTTGACACAACCTGTACAGTGAATTATAGTGTATAGTACATTACTTGACACAACCTGTACAGTGTAGTGTACAGTACATAACTTGACACAACCTGTACAGTGTAGTGCACAGTACATTACTTGACACAACCTGTACAGTGTAGTGTACAGTAAATAACTTGACACAAGCGGTACAGTGTAGTTTACAGTGTACAGTATATAACTTGACACTTCCTGTACAGTGTACAGTGTACAGTAAATAACTTGACACAACCTGTAAAGTGATGTACATAAACTTTACAGTATTTCTAGAAATAAAATGAAAGATAGAAAATGATCAGATTAGATGATCGCATTATTTCTATTATATTGATTGATTGATTGATTATTAATTGATTTGTTGATTGAAAGATTGGAGAATTAAGAGATAAATACAGACAGACAGAAATAAATACGGACGGACTGCGCCTAGATTGAAGAAGAGGCATGGACATAGAGAAACAAACAGACAAATGGACGCCAATACAGGCAGACAGATCTACTGATATAAAATTCGGTGATGGTGATGGACCAAACCTCTGTAGAGTAAAAAAAAGTAGATGTTAGTTCCACATTTGTTGAAAATATATTTCGGTCTGGGTTGACCCTCGTCAGTTCTTGAGATTGTTTCTGTCACAAAGATTAAAAATAAACTGATAGTTGACAGCTAGATAGATATACACAAAATGAGAAATACGGACATATTCACAGATAGATAGACTGACAAACAGAGAGAAATACGAGCAGATTGACAGATATTTAGACATACAAACAGACAGTTTGACAGACAGACATACATACAGACAGCTGTCTAACCTTGACACACTCTTGACAGTTGTTCATACTGGGTGCTGTTGTAACAGTTAGATAACAGTGAAGAGATCCAGTTAAAACCTGATATAAACAATGAACAATAACTAAATTATCTTTATTAATTTCCCTAAAAATCATTTATTTCCCTCAAAAATCATTAATTTTCCCCAAATATCATCAATTTTCCCCAAAAATCTTTTATTTTCCCCAAAAATCATTTATTTTTCCCAAAAATCAATTATTTTCACTGAAAATCATTTATTTTCCCTGAAAATCATTTATTTTCCCTGAAAATCTTTTATTTTCCCTGTAAATCAATCATTTTTACCAAAAATCACTTTTTTCCCATTAAATAATTTATACAGTCCAAGCCAGCGAAAAAATCCTTAAAAAAAATTTATTTAACTTTCGGGAGGTAAAATGATTTTCTTAAAAAGGAAATGATTTTATAAGAAAATATTAAATGCTTAAAAAGTTATTGAACCTTTGCATAGATAATTTCTTATTTAATAAATATTTTAGCCGCAATTAGAAGTGAATCGCGATTTGTAAAAAAACGTTGTTGATTCACAATTGCATTAAACCAGATACACCTTTATTTGACCAAATATGACAGAAATTCCTGAATTTTCTGCCTGAAAATAGAGTCTCGTGTTCTGAGCTTAATATTATTTTTAATTTCCATTCTCCACTTAAGTTAACATTTTTTATTACAAATAAAATCGTCTGTATATAAATTAGGACATTAACTTTGATCAGACAATAGTCTAAAGGGTACCGTTGTGAATTGGACATATCCCTTTGAAAAAGTACCTCGTCAGTTTCTGGATCACTGGATTGATGTCCGTACACAACTAAAATAAACAAACTGGATTGATGTCCGTACACAACTAAAATAAACAAACTGGATTGATGTCCGTACACAACTAAAATAAAC